GAAACATAGTCTAGGTGCAGGGAGGACGATTGGTGGTACCACGGCTATAGGTTATGATCTTTTGTGATGTTGCTTCAACAACATGTTCTCTTACTGGACAATTTTTGCTGTTATTTATTTGTGATTGTAGTGTATTGTAGTATATGGCAAAAATACATAGTACAGAAGGCGACTGATCGGTTCTTTTAGTCTGACCTTGGTATTTTGTTTTATCAGGGCACTAAAACCAATCCTACATTTCTTCAGTTTTCTAAAGCTTTGGACATCTTAATGTTGTGACTTTCTTCCTTATGAACCCTGACGCTTTACTATTGGGGGGGGAGGGAAGGGGAGGAGGTGGGGAAGGGTAGGAAATGGGACGGAGTAGTCTGAGGTGACCCAGGTGACCCTACTATGGGGCTTGGGCAAACATGTCCACCAGGGCCTCTCTAATGCGCACCGCCTCCTGGCGCGCCTGGCGGATGGCAGCTGTGTCGGGCTGATCCAAGGTCTGTGCCTCGGCTGCCACCCATGCAGGGAGGAAGGCCTCCCCACTGCGCTCCACAATGTTGTGGAGCACGCAGCACGCGGCCAGTACCTCCGTTGCCAGCTCCACTGGGTTTCGGGCCCGGTTGAGGCGGTCGTTGAACCGGGCCCGGTTCTGGTCCGGCTGCCCCATGTAGGGCCGCATGAGCCAGGGCATCAGGGGGTAGGCCGCGTCCCCGACGACGCAGATGGGCATAGGCACATCCCCGACAGTCAAGTCCCGCCGGGGGAAGTAGGTGCCCGCCTCCAACCTGTGAAACAGTCCTGAGTTCCGGAAGATGCGGGCGTCGTGTGCTTGGCCGGACCAGTCCCCGTAGATGTCCACGAAGCGGCCCCGGTGGTTCACGGGGGCCTGCAGAACGATGGAGCAGTACCCCTTTCGGTTCATGAAATGGGCTGCTCGATGCTCCGGGGCCCGGATAGCGATGTGGGTGGAGCCCAGGGCTCCCCCGCAGTTGGGGAACCCGAGGGCAACGAAGCCGGCCATGGTATCATCCACGTCGTGCAGGCGGATGATTCGCGGGAGCAGGACATCATTGATGGCGTGGACAACCTGCAGAAGGGTGCAGAGAAACACAAGGGAACACATCACATACAGCCAGGGGTGAGTGTGCCCTCCCTTGGGTCCCCCCCTTGATTCCCTCTGTGTACACACACACACACACACACACACACACACACACGGGCCCCCCACCCCCCTCCCACCAGCGGGCCTGTACAAGGGAGGGACGGCCCAAACCCCTGGGCGACCCAGCCTGGAGTCTTGGCCGGCCCTGGGACTGGAATGCAGCACTCT